GAAGACATAAGCAAGAACTGTAAATCCACCTTCTTAATGCTAATATGAATTTGAAATATCCAAATTTGAATATTTATGATTACTAGACACATTTTTTCTTATTTCCAATTTAATTATTTATAACACACATTTCAAAGTGTCACAAACTCATGAATTTCCAATAAATTATACTATGATGGATATTAAGTATATAGACCTATTATCCCAAAATGTGTCTCTAAATGAAATATTTGTATTCATATTGTTAGCATTCTAATTTCACAATACTATTCATTTGTGCACCTACATGTTGGGTAAAATATTTTGTTACTGTAAATTTTTTGGTTATGCATTAGAGAAAAAAATCATAGCAAGGCAAATTTGTTAATGTATAAAACATATTTAGCATGATCTTTGACTATGTTTGTGCATATACAATGCTACTTTGACTGCTATAGTAAAATAATCCAGAGTTAGTCACCATAGCTAAGAATGTGAAAAAGCATTGTAAGAATTTGTCTTGCTATAATGATGCTATTAAAAATGAAACAAAGTTAATATACTGTATTATTGCATAGAGTATTTGTCTATATTCATATTGAAAAATGCCCCAAAACCCCAAAATTGAATCCTAATTGTTGGATGTCACTTTGCTATGAATTTTTAAACGTAATAAAAGAAAGAAAAGGAAAGAAATTATTGAAAATACGTTGGGTTTTCATTATTCTTGATGAAATACCACACAAGGATACTGGTCTAGGCCTGATGCTGAGAATAATATAAGAATCATGAGACTATAAGACCTAAGTATTGCCAAAAAAAGAAAATCATTACCATTTTCATGTCAAGTGTACTAAAAATTTATAAAAACTATTTTTTAAGAACTCGGTGTTATAAATACTTTGTTTAGTTTCTCCATTAAAAAATGATTTATAGAAGGAGAATAAAAGTTCATTTCTACCCCTAAATCAGTAAGATAAAAAGAGTAATCAATATTCAGAATCCAATAGACAGAGTTAACAACTAGTTAAACATAAGAAAGTATTAGTGAACTGGAAGATAACTACCCAGAATGAAGCATAAAGATACTAAGAGATAGAAAATATAAGGCTAGAGGGTCAGAGACATTGAAGCTACAGCTAGAACAGCTAACATGCTTCTGCAGTTCTGGAAGAAAGTTGGGCAGAAGCAATGTGGAGATTTTTCCAAAAGTGATAAAATGTATCAGTTCATATATTTTTAGAAACCATCTAACTTCAGACAAGATAACTAGAATCAAATTAACATAAAATGACAGGACATCAAAGACCAATAGAAAATCTGAAAAGTAACTAGAGGAAAAGATAGGTTATGTTAAAGAGAATAACTGTCTAAATGACAACCTAATTCTTAACGGACAAAAATAAAGATAGAGTTCAAAGGAATCATGTCTTCAGTGTATTTCAAAAGTAGGATAGATCTTGATAAACAGAAACTTAAAATATATCTTTTCAGATAAAAGAAAAATTGTTATTGTTATTATTTTTGTTTGTAGAGTTGGAGTCTCACTCTGTTGTCCAGGCTGGACTTCAGTGGTAGGATCATGGCTTACTGCAGTCTGGAACTCCTGAGCTCAAACCATCCTCCCACCTCAGCCTTGTGAGTAGCTTCGCTGTGCCTGGCTAGCTTTTTCATTTATTGTAGAGGCCTTTTTGCTGTGTTGCACAGGCTGGTCTCAAACTCCGGGGTTCTCCTACCCCAGCCTTACAAAATGTTGGGATTATGGGTGTGAGCCACCCTGCCTGGTCAATAAAGGGTCTTATTGAAAATATTAAGTTGAATATGCAAGAAGGAATACAAATTAATGAAAGTGACAAATATGTGCATAATTCTAAATGAATGTTTACTGTATAAAATAATAATGTCTTGTTGGGGTAATTATATAATTGATAAGACATATGAAAATGGCAAAACTAGAATGGAGGTAAAGGTGACAGGAGTAAGATTAGTTAAATTATTTTTTGAACTTTCTGTGTCTATGAGGAAATTTTGAACAATGACAATATAATTCTACTGATAGGTATATATACAAAGGAATTGTATCAATGATATATGAAAGAATATTCTAGTAGAATTATTTGTAACTGTTCAAAAAAGAAGCTGGCCAAATATATATTAAGGTTGGATGAATCATTACAGTAAATCCATACAACGGAACAACATAGAGAAGTGAAAAAAAAAAATCACATGTACTTGCAACTATATGACTAAATTTCAGAAACATAATGTTGAGTTCAAGAAGCCACAAACAAGAACATGTAGGATTGCACCTTCACACAGTTCAAAGCAGGCCAGACCAAGCTATGCAGTTTAGGGTTGCATACCGAGGTGGTAAAGTATGAAGAAAATCAAGGAAACGCTCATTATAAATTATGGATATTGCTTATCTCCGGAGATGCAAAGAAATGTTTAGGGACTTGGAAACTGGCATGGAGGTGGACAAACGCTGTTTTCAGTGTTCCTTGTCTTGCCCTGCATCACGGTTACTTGAGTGCTTATGATACATCGTGGTATTTCCCATTTTTGTATTGGTTCATTTCTAATTGTGCATTACAACTTTAATATACAAATTTGTAATTAGAAGAAATGTCTCATAGAAATTATTATTTCTGATCTCATTACAGACTGAGGGGAAATATCAACTATTTGTATACATTCTTATACAACTCTAAGATAGTGGAAATGGGAACTTTCTCATTTGGTTGCAACAGGAGCAAATTTTAGATGTTATCCTCCAACCCCAGATCTTTCCAAAGGCTTTCTTCTAGCCTTAATTATGCACTTCACAGGAACAAATCTTTGCCTGTGAAGTGGATAATCTATTTTTTGTTTTGGCTCTAGAATTCCTGACAAAACAAGCTTGTACATATTTCCCACACTTGGTTTAGCAGAGTTCCTTTATCAATTATATTTTTGTGCCAGGAGAAAATCCTCCAAAACTGCATTAGATATTTATATCTCACACGTTGTTGGATTTGGTTTTTTTTTTTTTTTTTTTTTTTTTTTTTCCTGAGACAGAGTCTTGCTCTGTCGCCCAGACTGGAGTGCAGTGGCACAATCTCAGTTCACTGCAACTTCCGCCTCCCAAGTTCATGCCATTCTCCTGCCTCAGCCTCCTGAGTAGCTGGGACTACAGGCACACGCCACCATTCCTGGCTAATTTTTGTATTCTTGGTAGATATGGGGTTTCACCCTGTTGGCCAGGATGGTCTCCGTCTCTTGACCTCATAATTCGTCTGCTCGGCCTCACCCACACTGGGCCTGGATTTCATTTTTCTAAGCTGGGTTTGGTTGGTGACTGTGGTGATTTCAGATGGGCCAAATTCTGCATCTTTGAGGACGTTAGAGTTTTGCCTAGTTAGTCTGGATTAGGTGGCAGCAATCTGACGTCATTAATTTCTCATTCTCCTTCTGGAAACAGTATATTAGCCAGGTGATATTCTCATGGTAAATGGAAAGAGGAAGAATCCCCAGTATGGAAGCCATATCAAATCTCTATGCAAAGAGTATTAATTTTCTGTTCATCAAAGCAAGTTAAATGATTGAACTCCAAGTTCAGGGGAAAGGTAGTCAGTCTTCCTATGATGGGAGGATACTGCAAGATTATATATCAAATGGCCTGGTACTCAGGAATTTTTATAAAATTGCTAAATATTTAACATAATAATAAATATTTAAACATTAGACTTGAGAGAAACTTTACCAAATCCTAAGAATTGGAGATATGTATGAAAAATAAATATTATTAATGAGCTGAAAACCCTCAGTGGGAAAATAGGACTCATTTCATCTGGAAACCTCTTGGAAATGCATTTTTTAATTTGGAAATTACAAGAAAATAAATTGTTCCGTTCATAAGTGGTGTGCCCATGTTTGTATTTGTGTGCATATTTATGATCTTGTGAGTAACAAAGTTATACAAAAGTATTAGCAGCTAGTAGATCTTATGGAGTATTGGACTGCCTGTGGTTCTCAAGAAAATCTTAGACGCTTTTGACAAAAGCAGTTTGGATTCTGTATATTTAAATATGTCATTGAAAAATGTCCGTATAGGTGATGATCTTAGATATGACCAAGCTCCCTTTAAGAATTTAGACATTTACTATATGATGTATGTATTGCGTTACAAAACTTCCCTAACAACTGAAGTCGCTAATGACAAATGATGGAGAGGTTACACAAGGAAAAATTGCAAACACTGAAAGAGAATATGTCCTTGTTTGCATACTAGCAAATGAGAATTCAGGTTTCATGTCATCTTCAGTGTGAATAATTCCAGCCTAAAACAAGAACAGACAGTGAATGAATGAATTAATTTGAGTTTGAAAATAAGAATGTTTTCCATAAACAAATCATTGAACTCATCAATTAACATGTCATGGTGATTTCTGGCTTGGAAATTGTGACACTTGTCACAACAATTAAAAGTAAAAAGGATGTCACAGCACATTAAAAAATCAGGTGCATATGGTATTTAAGGTCAGGATATTCAAGCAATCACACAGTTATATTACATTGAGAAGTGAAGCCAGCTAGACTTCCTGGATGGAGTGGGGACTTGAAGAATTTTTCTGTAGCTAGCAAGAGGATTGTAAAATGCTCCAATCAGTGCTCTGTAAAATGCACCAATCAGTGCTCTGTAAAGTGCACCAATCAGAAGGATCCTAAAAGTAGCCAATCGCAGGGAAGATTGAAGAAAGAGCACACTGATAGGACAAAAAAGGAAAATGGGAGGGAACAAATAAGGGAATAACAGCTCTCTGGGTCACCTCCTGCTCTGTGGAAGCTTTGTCTTTTCACTCTTCACAATAAACCTTGCTTCTGCTCACTCTTTGGGTCCGTGCCATCTTTAAGAGCTGTAACACTCACTGTGAAGGTGTGTGTCTCCATCATTGAAGTCAGCGAGACCACGAACCCACCTGCAGGATCCAACTCTGGACACACCAGCAGCATTTTAAAAATTTCTTTTTCTCTGTTCAGACATGATAACTTTTTTACCCATCATTTTTTCCATTCTAGTAGTGTTTACATTTGTTATTGGAAATTTTGCTAATGGTTTCATAGCATTGGTAAATTCCATTGAGTGGGTCAAGAGACAAAAGATCTCCTTTGCTGACCAAATTCTCACTGCTCTGGCAGTATCCAGAGTTGGTTTGCTCTGGATATTATTATTAAATTGGTATTCAACTGTTTTGAATCCAGCTTTTTATAGTGTAGAAGTAAGAACTATTGTTTATAATCTCTGGGCAGTAATCAACCATTTCAGCAACTGGCTTGCTACTAGCCTAAGCATATTTTACTTACTCAAGATTGCCAATTTCTCCAACCTTATATTTCTTCACTTAAAGAGGAGAGTTAAGAGTGTCGTTCTGGTGATACTGTTGGGGCCTTTGCTATTTTTGGTTTGTCATCTTTTTGTGGTAAACATGAATGAGATTGTACGGACAAAAGAATATGAAGGAAACACGACTTGGAAGAGCAAATTGAGGAGTGCAATGTACCTTTCAAATACGACTGTAACCATACTAGCAAACTTAGTACCCTTCATTCTGACCCTAATCTCTTTTCTGCTGTTAATCTGTTCTTTGTGTAAACATCTCAAGAAGATGCAGCTCCGTGACAAAGGCTCTCAAGATCCCAGCACCAAGGTCCACATAAAAGCTTTGCAAACTGTGATCTCCTTGTCGTTATGTGCCATTTACTTTCTGTCCATAATGATATCAAGTTGGAGTTTGGGAAGGGTGGAAAACAAAGCTGTCTTCATGTTCTGCAAAGCTATTAGATTCAGCTATCCTTCAGCCCACGCATTCATTCTGATTTGGGGAAACAAGAAGCTAAAGCAGACTCTTCTTTCAGTTTTGTGGAACGTGAGGTACTGCGTGAAAGGACAGAAGCTTCAATCTCCATAGATTGACAAGAGGGGCATTGTGTGTCTTCTAGCAGAAAACAAACTGGTGGTGTGTGAAACATTTTATATTTATTGATTTTTCTGTAATATACGTGTATGAATAATTTCCAGATATATACCTAGAAAAGTCATTGACCTAAAATTAGTCTTAAAAAGTGTATATATATACACACACATATAAATATATGTGTGTATGAAAGCTTAGAACATTCACAATAACATGACCTCTTTGTGTTTTTTCATACAGACTATCAAATTATACAAAATATGACAAAAATTCCTCAGAATTATGAAGTCATGTGTATTTCATTTATGTACTTTATATTTCATTTGTAGAATTTATGATATCTATTTATCATTATTAAGAACTAACAGCTTATCCCAGGAAAAATAGTGCTCTTTTCTAATGTGATTAGAACCACACAAATATGCCATATTGTGCTTAGAATTCACTGTTTGAACCTCTAACTTATTGGACGGTAAGGTCATTCAATTCTAAATCAGTAATGAGGATGTATCTTCGGGGTTCTATTCCATTATGAATTCCTATTTTATGTTTAGTAAAAGGCAAACAGAATTATTGTTAGGAAACAATGCACACAAGAGAATTTGTGTGACAAGCACATGCACAGCAAATTTTGTGTATGTCTGCCATAAGCAGTACTGAGGAATATTAGATTTCATATAAGTATGTGAATAGCTTAGAAAAAAATCTCTTCTGTAATAAAGGGATGAAAAACCATGATCATGATCTTGATTGCTATTAGCAGTTTCCATATGCAGTTAGAAACATCATTTCATCCAGCTTTTGAATTCAAGAAAAGCTGTTTTTGAAGTTGAGATCTGATGTAAAGTATTTTAGTATTTTTTCTAAAGCACTTCTAAGTGCCTGATTGCTAATTATATCTTTATCTTCCATTATAATATTCCTTCTAAACTTCAGATAAGAGATCGTTTCTCTTATCTGAAGTTTAGAAGGAATATTATAAATCTGATCTTTTTAGATCAGATCTTTTCTAAAAAAAACAAATCAATGTAAAATTAATATAGAAGTTATCGACAATAATTCAGTGAAACTTTTTGTAAATATTAAAATGGTATCTATGAAATCTATGTATTAATTATGGGATGTGCCTTAACATTGTAATTTTGTTGTCAATAATGAAATGAATGTGTGTTGACATATTCATTCATAGGAAGCTCTAATATAAGAAAGAAATGTACAGTCTTGTTCACAGCTAAATTCTACCTGACTGTATTAATTCTTGGTGTTATGAAATTTTAGCTATGTGATTTAAACCTTAAATGTAAATCATCCCCACACATGATTTACGTATTTTTTAATCATATATCTTCCTCAGTACAACGTAAGAACCGTAAAAAAGGAGATCATGTTTGTCTTCCTTTCTGTTGACTCCTAGGAACTAGAACCCAGCACCAAGAATAGATGGTCAAAAATGATACTTTAATGAACAAATAAATTGGTGCATAAAATGGATAAGTTGATGTGGTAAACCGATGAAAAGGAAATGCATCACAAAATCTGCAGTTGCATGAATTCCCCTGTTCCGGTCTCAGGTTAAGGTTACAGTCTTATCCAAGCAGAATCCTTCCTCAAAGGAAAAGTTTGGTTATTCCACAGTTTTAGGGGCAATATCACAATAACATAGTCTTGATAAAGCTGTATCAGGTGTCTGATTTGGAGACAAGGTAGAACATCAAAATTAGATGGCACCTATTACAATATTTTTAAAAAGCATATAAACAACTTTGGTCTATTTGAATATGTATTTTTTATTGTCAATTATATATTAGTATTATGATATTTTCTAGTTGATTGTTATTTAAACAAAAATGGCATTTCGTTTCAAAAAATTGAGTTAGTAACCAGCTACTTTACTAATTTTTTTTCAATGTAGTACCTGTTATTGAAGTGATGACATTTATTTAGAAGTCAAGTTCAAGACAAAAAATGGCAAGGACATGTAGAAACTGAGACAGGAACAAACATGAAACAGTGTGTGGTGACGTCTGGTGTGACTCTGCTGGCAGCCACTTCACAGTAAGGTGAGAGAGACAGCACGGTGGTCATCAGACGTGTGCACTTGGCTCCTGCACTTTTCCATAAGGGTTACAAGGGGAAACCACCACCGGCATTAGTCCATGGAAGAGAGAGAGAGGAGGGAGAATCTATCTGCTCAGCTGTCATTTGACTTCTATTTCCCATCCACCATGGTTTACCTGAAGCAGAACTACCATCTCTGCTGCTCTGTCTTACATCATCCAGTCCTTTGGTAGAGATTATGAAAGTCAGACCTCATGCCCACAGTGCAGTGATTCATTCAAATCCCAAATGGAAGGATGATCAGGATCAGGCAAGGTGCTGGCCTGGAGAATAGGAGATAGTGAGGGGAATCTAAGAAAGCACATGTCTGTGTTCAATACCGCCACTCCTTGTGCCACTGAGATGTCCTTATACCCTCCAGTCATGGCTGACTTTATGGGCATATGACCTGCACAGTTGCATAGGGTTTTGTGCTTATAGGGGCTTGTGCTTAGAGGGACTCTCTGCTTGGATTAATGTTCTGCACTTGCTGTTTTGCTTATCAGACAGAGGATACTCCTCTGCTGAAGAGGGAATGGTCTTGCACTAATTCCATAGGAATTTGCTCCCCCCTCTCCTACAGGCTTGTTAGTGACATGGACAGAGTCCTGTAATACCCGCTCTGTATGTTTCTAGCGTCTTTGAATCCTGCTGGATCATCTGGCACAGTGGCCAGAGCAGCTTGGACCAGGGCCTAAATCTGCTGTAGAGTCCTTTTTTGCTCTGGGTTCCACTTGAGACCAGTAGCCTTTGGAAACTTCTGTAATGAGTCAGAGCAATATTCTCAAATGTAGAATACATTGTCTCCAACATCCTAATGGCCTCCTGAAACATTGTGTCTCTTTTGTAGTAATGGGAAATATATGCGTAGAGCAACATGTCAATTACTTTAAAAAAAGATTGTTTCAACATGTGGTCTAGGGACAATGAACGCTTTAAAACATCACCTATGTTGTAGGTACCTGAATCTCCTCAGGTTTATTTCTTTTCTTTTGGTGTTTTACTTCCATTCACTATATTTAAGAAACTTGCCACTTCCTGACTATTGTACCAACTCATATATTATTATTATTGCTATTATTTTGAGACAGGGTCTCATTCTGTCCCTGAGGCTGGAGTGCAGTGGCAGGATCAGAGCTCACTATGGCCTCAACCTTCCAGGCTCAAGTGATTCTCCCGCCTCTGCATTGCTAGCAGCTGGGACTGCAGGGGAACACCATCACACCTGGTTAATGTTTGTATTTTCTGGAGGGTTAGGATTTCACCATGTTACTCAGGCTGGTATCAAACTCCTGGGCTGAAGTGATCTTCCTGTGTCGGCCTCCTAAATTGAAGGGATTACTGTCATGTGCCACAGGGCCCGGGCTGTAATATTATTAATATATTAAATAAGCACGATGTTTTTTACAAAATGTAAACAGAGAACAGAAGTGACATAGCCATGATATTAAAACAGTGAAACAGTGCTATTATTCTTACAATACAAGGCAAATTGTTTGATTTTTCCTCATAATGGGTGTAGATTAAGAACCATTCACCAAATCACGAGCCCTGTAAAAAGTGCCAGAAGCTCTGCTCTGCTCAGTGAAGATAGCACATCCTGGAAAGCATTTGTGAGTGTTGATTTAAGTTTAGAGTAGTCTGCATTCATTCTATAACCCGTCTGGTTTTGGTAGGTTAACTGAATCGGATTATAGAAAGGACTACCGTCCCTTGCAACTTGCAAGTGTTTTGTCATGGCAGTGACCAATTCCATTCCTTAAGGAATGCGGTTATATTTTATACATTGTGTTGCCAGTAGAGGAGAATTGCAGAGGCTTCCCTTGGGTCCTGCTATAATAATGTCCCTTACTCTACAGTTGAGGAAGAATGTGAGAGTCCTGCCAGCTGCCATAGATATCCATTTCAATTACACATTCAGGGAGAGGTAATAACTACAAACTGATTACATCCACCTTAGGATGGACATGAGCCGAAGCTCTAGGTAGCATCTGACTTTCAAGCATTCCCACTGCAGGCTGGATGTGATGGCTCCTGCCTGTAGTCCTAGTACTTTGGGAGGCCAAGGTGGGAGGATCCCTTGAGAGCCAGAGTTCCATTCGCAATGTATGGAAACTTCATCTCTACAGAAAATTAAAATTTAGCTGGCGTGGTGGTGCATGCCTATAGTTCCAAATACTTGGGAAGCTGAGGCAGGAGGATTGCTCGAGCCCAGGAGTTCAAGACCAGCCTGGGAGACATGGCCAAACTCTGTTTCTACCAAAAATATAAGAATTAGTCAGGTGTGGTGGTGTGTGCTTGTAGCCTGTAGTCCCAGTTACTCAGGAGGCTAAAGGCAAGAGATTCCTTGAGCTTGGAGTTGGAGGCTGCAGTGAGCCAAGTGTGTACTACTCCACCCCAGCCTGGGCCACAGAGTGAGACTGTGTCTCAACAAAAACAAAAACAAACAAACAAACAAAAACACTACAAAATCTAGGGTGCACCCATAACATTTATTACTTGCATTTGGTACATTTAATATATGTTTGTATCTCAGTTACTAATCCCAGATTTCACATGTAGCTCTATGATTAAATATGAGTTTTTTTTTTGGTTTGGTATGATATGAAATAGGATATAAATTCATTTTTTATGTATGTGATTATTCAACTTTCTCATTATCAATTGTTGAAAAAAATTATTAATTCCTATTCAACTGCAGTGGTAGTCTTTTTGAACTCAGTGACCATGAACGTCAGTGTTAATTTCTAGACTCTCAGTTATGTTTTATGTTCTTTTTGTCTACTGTAATGCCAACACCACACCATCCTGATAAGTGCAGCTTTGTGATAAGCTTTGAAATCAGAAATTGTAATTCTGCAACTTTGTTTTTATTTTATTTTATTTTATTTTATTTT